GATCTTCCCCCCTTTATTTTTTTGTCCTGCCCACGGAAGTTTTGGAGATAGGTTGATCATCTTCCTTCTCTGTGGTTGCCCCTCAAATATTGGAAGAGAGGTTGCAAGAACTGCAAACTTCAGAATGAGAAGTGCCCATCGCTGGAGGGTAGTCCTACACTTATGACCAGTTGCTTAGAGAGTAGAATAGAATAGAATAAAGCTGGAAGGGACCTTGGAGGTCTTCTAGTCCAGCCCGCTGCTCAAGCAGGAGAACCTATACCCGTGATGGCGAACCTATGGCACGCGTGCCAGAGGTGGCACGCAGAGGCCTTTGTGTCGGCACGTGAGCTGCAGGCAAACTTACTTCACTGCACATGCATGCGCCTCACAGCTGATTTTCGGCCTGTTTGAGGCCTTGTTCGGACTCCCAGAGGCTTGAGGAAGACTTCTGCAGGATTCTGCAGCCTTTGCAGGCCGAAAACTAGCCCCGTTTCATTACTTCCTATTTTTCCAGAAATACCGGAAGTAACAAAGTTTTCGGCCTGAAAAGCCTGCAGAAGCCTTCCTCAAGCCACTGGGAGGCCGAAAAAGGCCTCAAACTGGCTGAAAATCAGATGTGTGGCGCAGTGCAGGTTAGGGGGTGGCAGGGGGTGGATTGTGTGTGCATGTATAGGGGCATGGAGGGGCGCATGTTGCCTTCTGAGTGCTGGCACGTGAGCGCACAAGTGCACGCACAATTTTTGGCACAGGAGCCCAAAAAAGATTAGCCACCACTGACCTATATGATTTCTGACAAGCGACTGTCTATTCTCTTCTTAAAAACCTCCAGTGATGGGAGCACCCATGATTTCTGGAGGAAAGTTGTTTCACTGGTTCATCGTCCTCACGGTGACTATTCAAAATTATGATGGACCCCTTCCAAAGATACTTACGACCCAGTTCTGATTACTGGCGGGAAAAATAAAAGTAGTTAACGACATCACTGGAAAAAAAAGCGACATCACAATTTTTCACATTTATGACTTGCATCGTCCCCAGGGTCATGTGACGCTTGGCAACTGACTCATATTTATGACAGTTGCAGTGTCCCGGGGAGAGGGTGTGCTGCGATCCCCTTTGTACGACCTGACAAGCAAAATCCTTGGGGGCAGCCAGGATTCGCTTAACGACCGTGTGACTAGCTTCACCATTGCAGGGATTCACTTTAACGATGGCGGCAAGAAAGCTTGGAGAAGGGGACAGAACTCAGGCAACTACTCTTTTGCTTAGCGATGGAAACTCTGGGCTCGCTTGTGACCGTGAGTAAAGGACTACCTGTGTTTTATGTAGTTGTACCCTTCTATCAGCGTCCCGGAGAAGACAATGTTGATTTTATGTGGGGGTCAGAAGCTAAGCCAAATCAGAGCTGGATGAGGCACCACTAGGAAATGAACGTGTCCGTGAGGTTTTTCAGCAGTCAAGCTGGACTTTAAATACCTCTGCTTGTTCTATTTGGCATCGTAATACCTAATGATTAAAATTGGACTATTTCTTTCTTGCCCAACCCTAACCTCAATCAAATAATTTATTTTATAAACCGTTTCCCCGAAAGTACGACCTACCCTGAAAGTAAGTCCTAGCTTGATTTTTACACATTTTACAATATAAGCTCCAATTAAGATCCTGTCCCCTCCAGAGTGGACGGGTAAAAATTAAGCAAGGGTGGGGATAGGGTGGTAGTGGAGCTGTCCTACTAATCTTCAGACAGTTGTAGCCAGACCTCACACACCCCGACACCTGCCTGATGGGCCCATTTCTTCTGCAGCCAGCAAGGCCGGCAAGGCTTTCCTGAAGGCCTCTGGAGTGAGAACAAAGCTTTGGATCGATCCAGAGCTCTGTTACTGGCTGCAGAGGCCTCCAGGAAAGCCTTGCTGGCCACAGTAGAAGAAGTTCCTGAAGGCCTCTGACAGCAAAAAGGAGGCCAGGAGCGACGCGCGCAGGGTTATTCGGATTTTCTCCCGCGTAAAATTGGAAGTATCTAGGCGACGTTTTGATGAAGTCTCATTCATCATCTTCAGGCTTGTGTCTGTAATTTACTATGAGAAGCACAGAGCCGAAGACACAAGCCTGAAGATGATGAATGAGACTTCATCGAAACGTCGCCTAGATACTTCCAATTTTACGCGGGAGAAAACCCGAATAACCAAAGATCCATACATATATATGTATATATATACATACATACATACATACATACATACATACATACATACATACATACATACGTATATATATGAGACTGGGTTTTATTTTCAGGGAAACACAGGTATATAGGATAGTTCACTTAAGTTTATTTTTCCGGGGTGATGGCACCACAATGTTTAAAAATCTCTGGGTTAGGGTGAGGGAAACTCAGAGGAAAGATTGAACCTTTAGTAAGTAACCATGTAGAGGGCTCTCTAACCTTGGCTCCTTTAAGATTTGTGGACTTCAACTCCCAGAATCAGCCTGACCTTCTACAACTAATCCTTGATTTATAATAGTTTATTTAGTGACTGCTCAAATTTACAACGGCACTGGAAAATGTGAGTTATGACCGTGTTTCACATTTATGACTGTTGCAGCCATGGTCATGTGATCAAAATTCAAACAGAGGGAAACTGCCTTTTTGCAGGGGTGGGATTCAACCGGTGTAACAACCGGTTTGGTGAGCGAGTGCTTTGCACTCGTGCGTGCTAAACGTACCGTACGTTTTTCACGTATGCTTGCTTACAACTCACCTTCTGCTATAAGGGTGTGTGTAAAACAGCCGATGCGCAGCAAATCAGCTGAGCTGGAAAAGCCGGAAATAAAGCACAGATTAGAGCCAGAGCAGGCGGACAGGCCCAACAGCTGATCGTTGGAGCAAAATGGTTCCCTCACAGCTGATCTTCGGCACTACCGGTTTGCACGAACCAATCCGAACCGGTAGAATTCCACCCCTGCCCTTTTGCCTAAGTGGAATTACCAGAGAGAGCTATGCAGACTTTAAGACCAATCCTTTTGTCAAGGTAGAATTATTTTAACAGTCACAAAGTACAGGGCCATCCTGTAGGCTAGGTTTGCGCGAGCCAGCAAACCGTGGTTAATTGAATGGTGGCTATGTGAATTCCTCTTCCTGTTGGAACTCGCAAAGCTCACCAAACTATTCATGGAGCCAGGAAATAGCCAGTCAGAGTTGAGCTCAGCAGGTTGTGTGAACCTGGCACAGAGGATTTTCATTGGTAAACCAGCAGAAACCTGAACTCGGAACTCTGCAAAGAGAGAGAGGCGGAAAAGAAAAACAGGCTGGTGCGCGAGAGGAAAGGCATTTGAATGGAAGTCCTAAGATCACTTCTGTGGGGGAAGAGGGGAAGCACCTTGGATTAAACCTGCACAGGTTGTTTAAGGATTGGACCATCCATCCTTTTGGATACAGCTCTAAAACAGGAAGTAGGCTTATGAACTGAGGTTTGTCCTTGTGTATATCGATAAAGCAAAGCAAAATTTTGGATTGTTTTTTTTTGAACAAACTCTACAGTGCATGTCTAAATGAGATGGCCAACAGATCTCCAACGCTTAACAACGCCACAAGTGATAAGAGCGCGTTCGGTTGCCCCCAAACAGATCTTAATCTACCCAGTAAGCAAATATCAAAGTAATTTTGAGTCTTACAGATCGATGCGAAGTTAGGGCATTGAAGAAACGAACTTATGGAAACTTCCTTGGATGAGGAATTAGCAGAGAGCAACAACAAAGATCTTAGGAGAAGATAAGCTGATGATACAGGCAGTCCTCGAGTTACGATAATTCATTTAGGGACCATTCGAAGTTACAACAGCACTGGAACAGAGTGACCGATGACCGATTTTTCACACTTACGACCGCTGCAGCATCCCCACGCTCATGGGATCAACATTCGGACGCTTGGCAACTGGCTCCTATTTATGACTCTCGCAATGTCACAGGGTCATGGGATCTCCTTTTTTGACCTTCTGACAAGTGAAGCCAGATTCACTTAACAACCAGATTACTAATTTAACAATCTGAGGGATTCACTTAACAACGGTGGTAAGGTAGGTCATGAAATGGAGCAAACTTCACTTGACAACTGTATTGTTAAGCAGGGGGAAATTTTGGGCTCAGTTGCGGCCGTAAGTCGAGGACTATCTGTATTGCAGAATAATAGTAACATAGAAGTCCGTTGCTCAGGGCTATGTCTCTTTCCCTCTGCCTTATAACGACATTCACACAATACTCTGAAAGCCAAACCCAATCATGATCTAATTCACAAATCACACGGGGCCAGAAGCCCAATCCTCCCAACACCCCAATTCACAATATCCTAAACTGGGCTGGGGGGCGGGGAAACGATGTCCCTTTTACGACATGTGGACTTCAACTCCCAGAATTCCTGAGCCAGTCGGCTCAGGAATTCTGGGAGTTGAAGTCCACAAATCATGAAGGTGCTACGGTCCTCCACCTCAGTCCTAAACCAGAAGGGGAAAAAAAAACCACAACCCCATCTAAGCAAACACAAAATGTGTTCTAGCATAACACACAAGTGCACCTGCTACACCTTTACTTGAACCTGGATTAATGCGTTGTGTGAATCAGTCAGCTTTTTAAACCGTGACACTCCAAATTCAACAATGCATTTTGATTATTATAATTATTTTTTGCACTCGTGTCTGGGTTCGAAGGATTAGCCGGTGACATCACTGTCACCCTGGAGATGCCCAGTTGGGGAGTCTCCTTTCATGTCCCCGGCAGGAGCTGGAGCGAAGGACAGGAGCTCAACCCCATCCCACAGCAGCTCTCGGGTCTCGAACGCTGGCTTGCTAACCTCCTGCACGGCGTCCCCATGTTCTTATTTTGAAAATGAAGATTTGCTTCAAATTAGGAGTGTTTTGAGATAGGTAACCAGGCATCAAATGCAGCTTCAAACACAGAGTAGATGGGCTTTTAAATATCAAGGCTTTTATAACCGTCGCTCTAAGGGTCCAACATCCAATGCTGTCCTACACACCACACACCAGGTACCAAATACGGCCCAACACAGATTCAACTATTGTAAGATCTCGGACACCGATAATCATATATTCCACAAAGAGGAAACTATTGCAAAAAACATCCAGAGAGGATCCCATTCTTAAAATTCCCCAGAAAGAATTAGGAAGGATTTTTTTTTTTTCTTGTTGAGGGGGAAGGATGGCGGACGAGGAATTATTTTCAGCTTGAGAGTAATGCATTTCAAAAGCTGATTTATACCGGTGAACAGCGATTGTTTCTTGACATGCTCGTCCTCTCAAGGACCATGGCGTAGTTTAAGGAATTCGCATGTTGGCGGTTTACATAAAGAGCGAAAATAAAGGCATTGCTTGGAGATTTCTTCGCTCTTTTGTGAAGTGATACAGCTAAGACAGCTCCGTAAAGAGACGGCTGAAAATCAAACCCACTTAGGATGAGTAGCTGGCCGTTATTATTATTATTACTATTATTATTGTTGTTGTTATTGTTATTATTATTATTATCATCATCATCATCTCTAAAAGGCAGAACCAGGAGGCCAAAATCAGGCTGAAAGTTCCGACCGACGGCAGGAAACTGGCAAAGGGCAGGTGTTGGATGCAAAAATAGAGATCTGCAGGTTGACAGTGGATCGAGGAAGGTTTGGATACCGGCAGGTGGACGAGAAGCCAGTGTCGGTTCACTAATTCCTCAGAACAGAGCCAGCAGCTAACCTCATCACTGAAAAATGGCTTTGCAAGTTTTCAGCCAAATGTTCTTCTTCTGTTCTTGTTTTCTGGAACGGCCTCCGCAGAATGACCAAGAGAAGGTTCAGCCCGAGAGACAAATGGATCGTCTCTCCTAGATTCTTAGAAGCCTCCATGGTTTCTCCACCGTGTCTCCTCTTGGCTACTGCTTCACTGTCTTGTTGGGTTCAGAAGACTGCCGGACGTCGGTCCATTCCTGCATCGTGCTCTGCAAAGCTTGCGTCTTCTCTTTGTCCACCTGCACGTAATCGACTTTCTCGTCAGAAGCAATGGACGACGTAGAGGGCTGGCCACACAAAAAAAAAAAAAAAAAAAAGAGAGAGAGAAGAGAGGAGAGAAGATGGAAGGACTTTCCAGACTTGTCATGGTTTGCCTTTGCAATGTAAACCCCATGTTTTTCAAACTTGGCCACTTTAAGGCTCGTGGACTTCAACTCCCAGTATTCCCCAGGCAGACATGCTGGCTAAGGGAATTCTGGGACTTGAAGTCCTCAAGTCTTAAAAGTTGCCAAGCTTGAAAAAGGCTGCCGCGAAACATCAAAATACCGTGCAACCTTCTCAATAAAAGATTTTCTTTTGATTCCCCTCCCCTCAATTTTGTATTTAACTAATAAAGAAATAGGAGAGATTAAAAAAACAACAACAATTTCTATAGCTTCAACACAGCACCTCCTTTTCAACAAGAAAGAGGAACTTAGAAAAGATCGTACTGAATTTATGTTATCGGAGATGCAGTGAAATGAACATTTTAATTAAACATGCTCCACTTCGGTAAGAAGCAATTACGTGTAGAGCTAGTTTGGTGTAGTGGTTGAGGTGATGGCCTAGAAACCAGGAGACAGTGAGTTCTAATCCCGCCTTAGGAATGAAATCCAACTGCGTAACCTTGGGCTAATCACCAGGAAACCGTGAGTTCTAGTCCTGCCTTACTGTATCCTGGTGATTGGCCCAAACTCATCCAGTCAGCTTTTGTGCCTAAGGCAGGACTAGAACTCACTGTCTCCTGGTGATTGGCCCAAACCAATCACCCAATCAGCTTTCGTGCCTAAGGTGGGACTAGAACTTACTCCGACTTGGTGATTGGCCCAAAGTCACCCAATCACCTTCCATGCCTAAGACAGGACTAGAACTCGCTGTCTCCTGGTTTTCCTGGATTCTAGCCTTCACCGTTAGATCAGAGTTTCCGTTCGATTGCACGTCACCCTGTTGTCCCGTGTCAACAGGTCTTGTCTACAGTTTGGCGCTTGGGATTCGCGCAAAAGATTTCAGAATCCAGATCGTACCTTTCGGTGGGGCCCAGGTGAGCTTGGCTGAAAGTCCAAAGCCAGGTAATCGACGCTTGTGGTGCTCTTCTTTTGGGCCGGGCTACTTTTCCCACTTGGAATGGGAGATGCAGAAACCGGGTTTTGCTAAAATTAAAGCAATTAGGAACAATCAGTCAAGCAGCAGCAAAAACACTCATTCTAACAATCAGCTCAAAATCTGCATAAAAGATTGACCCCTATTGCTTCTACAAGAGGTCAGAGTCCCTTCCCCATTAGTTCCAAGACGAAAAGCACCTTCGTGTAGAAATTCATAAAAGTATAAAAGAAGCATTCGTATACAGGTAATCCTCGACTTACGGCCATAATTGAGCAAAACGTTCACCATTGGTAAACAAGACAGTTGAATTTCGACCCGTTTTATGAACGTCCTTACTACAGTTGTTAAGTGAGTAACATGGTTGTAAAGCGAATCTGGCTCCCCTGTTTTGTCATGCTCTTGTCGGGGTCTGAATCTGAGGAGGAAGACGAACAGCTGACAGGGAGTAGGAGTGTGGTTCTGTTGGCTGTGGAGGAACCTGGGGAAGGGCTGGGCAGAGGTAGGACAAGGGAGACGGGGTTCAGAGGAAGACCCAGGCCCACCCCCTCTTCATCCTAGAATATGCATGGAGGAAAGGAGAAGGAAGCAATGTGGGTTGCATAGCTTACAGGGGAGGAAAGGGCCCTGATTCCCTTCATTAGCCAGAGCTGGGAAGAGAGCTTAAAAGAGATGCATTCTGAGTGCGGTGCCAGACACCGCACTGCTGGGAACAAACGTGAGTTTATCTTGTGTTGACTTTGGTTATCTGTGTTCTTGGCATCCTCCCAACCTTCACATCTGGAATTTCTTCTCTTGCCCTGCCGGATTTGCCTCATTTTGCGTTGATTGGACTTATAATTACAGTTTGTGATGACCACGTTTCAGACTTGATTATCTGCAGCCAAAGGCTGTTCCTGGGAGAGTTTTTCTCCAGCCAGAAGATAACCAGGACATTGGGGGCAAAGTTGAAGCTAATAAAGGGATTCCTACTGATTATCTGACTATGTTGCCGTTGTGCCACACTCCTTTGGGTCATCACATCTTGCTTGTCAAAGTTCACAAAAATTATGGGATGAATATGTAATACATGCCAATGGCCAAGCATCCAAATTTTAATCTCGTGACCATGTGGATGCTGGAGTGATTGCAAGGGTGAAAAAACCCTTGTCATTTTTTTTTCAGTAACTGACAAGTCACTTTTGAAAATAACTTTGAACAGTCGCCCAAACAAAATGGTCGTAAGTCGAGAACTGCCTCTACGCAAGCTATTGCCTTGTTTACTTCCAGATGCCCACAGAATCTCAACGGAAAGAATTTTCTTGTCTTTTATTCAGTTTTCAGGCCTCTGAGACCCGTGTCAAAATTTTGAAACCAGATTTTAGAGCCTCTGGAAATAAATGCAGGCACTCTTCAACTTACAACCATTCCATTTAGGGACCATTCAAAATTACAAAAAAGTGAATTATGACCGTTTTTTACACCTTTGACCGTTGCGGAATCCTCACAGACGTCATCAAAATTTGGACGCTTGGCAACCGACTCCTATTTATGACGGTTGCAGCATCCTAGGAGTCGAACTTTTGCCAAACCAAGTCAAGGGGGAAGCCAGATTCACTTAATGACCGTGTTACTAATTTTTAACAACTCATCCGTGATTCTCTTTACCGAAAGGGCGTAAAATCTCACTTAAGAACGGTCTCACTTAGCAACCGAAATTTTGGACTCCGTTGTGGGTCAAAAGTTGAAGATGACCTTTAAACTTAAAACAAGGATGTCCTGGGCAACTTTAACACTTGTGGACTTCCATTCCCAGAATTCACTCACACAGGATATCTGATATAAGTCGCCTCTACCTCCTCGCTTCCCTCCCCCCCTTCCTCCTAGGACTCCACCTTCTCACCACAATCCATCACAGTAGATTGGGTGGGTGTGGCCATGGTGGGCGTGGCCTATGGGAACTTCCAGGAGGGCCATTTTTTTGCCTTCCCCAGAGTCCTGAGGCTTGCCTCAGGCCTCTGGGAGAAGGAAAACGGCCTCCCCCGGGCTCCAGAGGGCTTCCGGAAGCCAGAAACAGACCCATTTCCGGACTTCCGGAAGGCCTGTTTTTCGCCCTCTTAGAGCCCCTCCACGGACCCTGCATTTACCTGCATCCAAAACAGGCCGCGTGGAGACTCCTGGGAGGGGAGGGGAGGGCTGGGCGGGGCCAGCCAGTAAATTCAACTACCGGTTTGGCGAATCAGATGTCAATTTAACATCCACTTCTCCCGAACCAGTCCAAACCGGCTGAATCCGACCCCTGCAGGAGAGAAGAAACCCAAAAGAGAACGAAGCTTCTATCAAGACTTACCATGGCCACATAATTTTCTTCGCTATCTCCTGAGTCGGTGCTGGTTATGCTCTGGGTTGAGGTGGGACGACAATATTGAGAAAAGTTGGAGTTGAAGGTCTGGCTGCAATGAGAACATCCGGATAACAAGGATAACAAGAGTTGGAAGGTGTTGGAATACAGTTTTTGTATATTTTATACAACAACTGCAGCTGCACTCATTAGAAGCAGAATTCTGGGTGGTCAAATATGCAAATGAAAGCATTGCGGTAGCTGTGGTTATTGTCTATTTTCTTTTATCCTGTTGCAGTTTTCTTTCTGGTGCTGTAACTTGCACCTATTTGCTAGTCCTGGGCCCATAACCTATTAAAAATTTGATATATAGTCCTACAAAAGTTCTAACAGAAGGGACCTTGGAGGTCTTCTAGTCCAACCCCCTGCTTATTCAGGAGATTCTATACCATTCCAGACAAATGGTTGTCTAATCTCTTATAAAAATCAGTGTTGGCACCCACAACTTCTGGACGCAAGTTGTTCCACTGGTTGAATTCCTCCTTAGTTCTAGGTTGGTTCTCTCCTTCATTAGTTTCCATCCATTGCTTCTTATCCTGCCTTTAGGACACAAAAGGGTTTTCAGGAATAGCACTTAAGACTTATATACCGCTTTACAGCGCTCCATAGCCCTCTCTAAGCTGTTTAAAGAGTCAGCACCTGGCCCCCCAACAATTTGGGGCCCTCATTTTACCCACCTCGGAAGGATGGAAGGCGGAGTCAACCTGGAGCCTGGGGAGATTTGAATTGCCAAATTGCAGGCAGCTGGCAGTCAGCAGAAGCAGCCTGCAGTACTGCACTCTAACCACTCTAAGCGCCACCATGGCTTATCAGAATCCCATCTGCCAAGCTGGGAGTAGATGGACAGACATAACCATAGTTTCAGCGGGGAGACTGTGAGCATCTTAGACCAAGCCAAGAAAATGCTAGAGAATTCCTGGCACTCAGACAAATCGACCATCAACAGGCACATTGAGATGAACAACAGCTACATACCATTCAAAAGCGACGATATAAAACCCAAAAGGAAATAAACAGAATAGCAGAGTCGGAAAGGAAATTGGAGCTCTGCTAGTCCAAACTTGCTGTTTAAGCAGGAAACCACATACCATTTCAGGAATATGGTTGTCCAAGTATTTTGGTCCAAGGATACCCCAGGTAAGCAGAGATAAACACCAAGTTTAACACTAAACTAACAACCAAGTAAACAATACCACAATCAAGGAACTACCAATGCAGCAAGCTAACTGTAAACTATAGCCTAATCAAGGAAACTTAAAGGGTATATAGGGTAAACGGTGTAGTGTGCCCTGCCTGAGCAGGGGGGTTGGACTAGAAGACCTCCAAGGTCCCTTCCAAACTCTGTTATTCTGTCTTTTTAAACCATGGTTGTCCTCCGATTTTATACCAAGCTATATATGAGGATTGGGTGGGCCTGCCTTAGGATGATGTGTGAATTCAACCCCTGTGGTTTGCAAATTCTGGCCTTAGTACAATGTCTGAGCTGGTGGACAGTGGGTGATTCAACAACGGTGACCTCACCAAGAGACAAACCCATCCTTTCTCCTCTCAGACAATGAATTATAATCTGAATTAGGGCATGACAAATTGTCTGCAGCCTAACAGACAGCTTCATTCAAGTGTTAGTGGGTGGGACTGCTAGCTCAGCCCCAGGGGAGTGAGGCTCACTATATTATAAGGGTCAGGGGCTATTTTAGCATTAGGGGGAAGAGAGGGGGCTGTGCTTTGACTCAAATGTGCCTTGGAGTATCTGGCAAACCCTGGCCCTGTATTCTTAAACGGCTGTGTATCTTCCCAGAATTGTGCCGTTGCTCCTCGCCGCAGAATCCGAGGAAAAGTTTCACTTCGTTTAAGGAGTTGCAGAATTAGGCAACCTGTAAACTTCACACTATCCATGCAAAGTATCTTAGAATAGAATAACAGAGTTGGAGGTCTTCTAGTCCAACCCCCTGCCTAGGCAGGAAACCCTACACCACTTCAGACAAATGGTTATCCCAACATCTTTTTAAAAACTTCCAATGTTGGAGCATTCACAACTTCTGGAGGCAAAGTTGTTCCACCGGTTAATTGTTCTAACGGTTAGGAAATTTCTCCTTAGTTCTAAATAGCTTCTCTCCTTCATTAGTTTCCACCCATTGCTTCTTGTCCTGCCTTCTCTGATGCTTTGGAGAATAACTTGACTCCTTCCTCTTCTTTGGGGCAGCCCCTGAGATATTGGAAGACTCCTATCATGTCTCCCCTAGTCCTTCTTTTCATCAAACTAGACATGTCCAGTTCCAGCAGCTGTTTTTCATATGTTTTAGCCTCCAGTCCCCTAAATCCTCTTTGTTGCACTTCTCTGCACTCTTTCTAGAGTCTCAACATCTCTTTTTTACATCATTGGTGATCAAAACTGAATGCAGGATTCCAAGTGTGGCCTTACCAAGGCATTATTAAGTGGTACCAACACTTCATGCAATCTTGATTCTAATCCCTGTTTATGCAACCTAGGACTGTGTCGGCTTTTTTTGGCAGCTGCTGCACATGGCCGGCTCATCTTTAAGCGATTGTCCACTAGGACTCTGAGATCCCTCTCACAGGTACTCCTATTGAGCAGGGCACCACCTATACTGTACCTGGGCAACTGTGTTTTCTTGCCAAAATGTAGAACCTGACTTTTTTCATCCTTGAATTTCATTTTGTTACAGAGCGCCCTGTGTTCAAGCTTGTCAAGATCTCGTACAAAGCATAAATGTATTTCCTAATTATTTAGGAAGTGTTCTTCAACCTTGGTGGCTTTAAGATGGGTAGGACTTCAACTCCCAGAATTCCCCAGCCAACAACCGGGTTACTCATTTAACACTGCAGGGATTCCCTTAATCACTGAGGTTGTAAAATGGGGCTAAACTCACTTAACGTCTTGCTTAGCAAATTTGGGACGCAGCTGTGGTCCTAAGTCAAAAACTACCCTGTATGTATAATTCAAACTGGCGAAAATAGCAAATACCTTTTCATCCTCCTATTTTCTCCACAACAACAACCTTGTGAGGTGGCTTGGGCTGAGAGAGTGATTGGCCCACTCAGTCTGCTTTTTGTGCCTAAGGCGGGACTAGAACTCACTGTCTCCAGGTGATTGGTCCAAAATTGCCCAGCCACTTTCATGCCTAAGGCGGGACTAGAACTCACTGTCTCCAGGTGATTGGCCCAAAATTGCCCAGCCACTTTCATGCCTAAGGCGGGACTAGAACTCACTGTATTCTGGTTTCCAGTAATCATGATTAAACCAAATTGGCTCTTTAAAAAACCCATGCAGTGTTTTACTCACCCGGGTCTAGACCATGATTTTGTGACTGGCGATTTAAAGGGCAGCTCATCGATGACTGAATTGCCTCTGAGGTCAAGTGGGGTTGGTTTTGCTGAGGAGAAAGAGAATTATAGTTAGGCTGAAGAGCTATTTAAGGCTCCATTGAGCTGAGATTATTGAAACTATCGTACCATCCCTCCAGCCAGCCAGCCTTCCTTCAACCAACCATCCATTCATCCCGCATCCATCAATCCCTCTTTTCATTATCATTCAATCTGCCCATTTTTCTAGAATCCACCCGTCCATCCACTCATCCACCCATCCTTCCTTCAATCGTCCATCCATCTCTTCCACCATCCATCCACTAATTCACTCACTCATAAACTTATCCCTCCGGTCATCTTTTCTTCAACCATCCATCCATCCATTTCCCCATCCACCCATCCTTTTGTTCCACATCTATCCATCCTTCTTTTCATCATCCATCTATCCATTCTTTTTTATCATCCATCTATCCATCCTTTTTCATCATCCCTCCATCCTTCTTTTCATCATCTACCCCTTCATCCCTCCATCCTTCTTTTCATCACCCCTCCATCCTTTTCATCATCCCTCCATCCCTCTTTTTATCATCCATCCATCCCCACATCCTTTTTTTCCATCATCCATGCACCCATCCTTTTTTCATCTATCTATCCATCCTTCCTTCTTTTCATCATCTATCCATCCATCCATCCATCCTTCTTTTCATTATCCATCTATCCATCCTTCTTTTCATCATCCCTCCATCCTTCTTTTCATCATCTATCCCTTCATCCCTCCATTCTTCTTTTATCATCCCTTCATCCTTTTCATCATCCCTTCATCCCTTTTTATCGTCCACCCACCCATCCATTTTTTCAGCATCCACCCATCTATCCATCCCCACATCCTTTTTTCCATCATCCATGCACCCATCCTTTTTTCATCTATCTATCCATCCTTCCTTCTTTTCATCATCTATCCATCCATCCATCCATCCATCCATCCTTCTTTTCATTATCCATCTATCCTTCTTTTCATCATCTAACCCTTCATCCCTCCATCCTTTTTCATCATCCCTCCATCCTTCTTTTCATCATCTACCCCTTCATCCCTCCATCCCTCTTTTCATCATTCCTCCATCCCTCTTTTCATCACCCATCCATCCATCCATCCTTTTTTTCATCATCCATCCATCCACCCACCCATCCATTTTTTCAGCATCCATCCATCTATCCATCCCCACATCCTTTTCTTCCATCATCCATGCACCCATCCTTTTTTCATCTATCTATCTATCCTTCCTTCTTTTCATCATCCATCCATCCATCCATCCATCCATCCATCCATCCATCCTTCTTTTCATCACCCCTCCATCTTTCTTTTCATCATCCATCCCTCCATCCATCCCTCCATCCTTCTTTTCATCATCCCTCTCTCCCTCCCTCCCTCCCTCCCTCCCAGCCTTCACCTTTCCGATCTGGCTTAAGGTTGCGGTTGATGGGTGGGGGCTGGATTTCACTCATCCGCCTCAAGGGATGAGAGCCGCTGCCTTTCTGCGCTGGGAAGGTGGCGGAGGAGTGGGCCACCCTGTCCAGGTGATGGGGCCCGGGGCTCATGGGGATGTAGAGGTGCTGGGAGCCGTTGTCATTGGAGCGCTCCGTGTTCTGCAGGAGGGAAGAACCTGGGTTCATGGGGACGTAGTTGTCTTCGGAGTCCGTGCTATGGGAGCGAGCCACCACAGTCTTGTTCTGCTGGGAACCAAAAAATAAAAGTTGAGTCAGAATAAGGAATGTAGGAAAACATTCCATTCCATTTCAGCTTTGCTTGTTTAAGACAAGTTTCTAGTCCTTAAGACTCTAGACCAGGGATGTCAAACTCAAGGCTCATGAGCCTTGATGTGGTCGGATCCAGCCCGCAGGACCGTCCTGGTCTACTCAATGCGTAGAGCAAGGGTCTTCCAACATGGCAAGTTTAAGACTTGTGGACTTCAACTCCCAGAATTCCTGAGCTAACATGACCGGAGGAGGAATTCTGGGAGTTGAAGTCCACAAAGTCTTAAACTTGCCAAGTTTGAAGACCCCTGATGTAGAGGAAAGTTCGGGCTAGCGTGGCTTCGGCCCGGTCTAACCAGTGCGAAGAAGGGATTTAGCAATGTGGTTCAATGATGGTTTATTTCACAAGCAGCAAACAGTAAACTCTCTCCTCCGGCAAGAACGGCATAACACCGACCGCCACAACCCTGCCTACACACAACGGCCTGATTCTAATCTGATTCTCCTCTTGAAATAATTCTGCTCTCCAGTCCTCCCAATTGCCTGGTTTCTTCTCTCAAACCAGCCTGGGGTAATAATCCCCACCATGCGCTCCCGTCACCGTACTCCCGATGTGTACTGCCAATCCCCGCCCCAGCCACAATTCCTCGTAGCTTTCATTCCCTCAGCTGATTCCTGTGCTTGGCTCAAACATCGACCAAACAGTTTGGCACACAGCATCTGCTTTGTAAGCCGTGGTGTATGATCCCACCCGTCGGTCCAGAGCAGGTAGCAGGTTGTTACTCCGGTGTCAGCCGGCAGCATTTGTTGGGTTGCCTCCCCAACCGAGCCCCTGCGAAATGGCGGACTCTGAGGTAAGCATCGCTGCACTCGGAGCCTGACAATGGCAATTTGGCCGTGGCAAGTTGTCTTACACCTCTCACTTTGCCACTGAATTAGGAGGCTGATGAGGAACATTGAGGCTTTGAACCATGCAGAATCAAAATATCTAAGGACTACTTCCCACCTATAAAGCTCTGGAGATGATTCTCCAGATGCCTTCATCAAACTGAGGCAAGGAGATTCCGAAGACCCCTAGCTTATGAAATAACTTTCTCCAATGGTGGGCTGCAACCGGTTTAACTATCGGTTCTGGGAACGCGTGTATAAACTGAGCAGAAAAACACGGAAATATAGGACAAGATAGGGCGGGGCCAGATGATCGCCGGAACAACCAGTTCACTAGAACCGGTCTGAACCAGCAGGAGCCCAGCACTGCTTTTCTCAGGAAAATCCACCCAACCACTAAGACCGATCATTTTTCATCACCAACCAAAGATGTTCCACTTTTCCTAGGCAGAACGGACTTGCCTTGCTTGGCACTTGGGTGGACAATAGAATGGCAGGATTATAACAATTGCTCCACAGTTCCAATGCTGTGTCGTTGGGCCCAAATGCTTTAGAGCCGTGATGGCGAACTTATGGTACGCGTGCCACAGGTGGCATGCAGAGCCATTTGTGTGGGCACACGAGCCCCAGCCAAATTTACCTGCACTGCTCATGCGCGTGCCTCCCAGCTGTTTTTCAGCCCGTTTGAGGCTGTTTTCGCCCTCCCAGAGGCTTGAAGGAAGCCTCTGCAGACTTGGGAGCCCAAAAAACAGGCCTTCCGGAAGTGCCGAAATGGGCCCTTCAGGTTTTCTGAAAATTGACAGAAGACCTAACAAGCAACTGGTCTCAAAGGTGCTTTTTCAAATGACGACTGGAGTTTCTTGTTTTTTTCTTTCAAAATCTTCTTCTTCTTCTTCTTCTTCTTCTTCCTCCTCCTCCTCCTCCTCCTCCTCCTCCTCCTCCTCTTCCTTCTTTCTTCCCCTGCCCCTCTCACTCTCCTTTCCTCCTCCTTCTCCATTTTCCTTCTCCTTCTTTCTTCCCCCTCCTCCTCCTCCTCCTCCTCCTCCTCCTCCTCCTCCTCCTCCTCCAACATATTCAAGGAAAAACAAAAAACACCAGTTGCCTTTTGAAAAAGCATCTTTGGGACAACCATGACCTGGTGGATGACTGAAAATCTCCACAGACATCTAGCAAGCAACTTGAGGTATTTCTTGAAGGCCCCGCAAAGCTCACCAGATACGAACTGGCTCCGACATTTGCCGACTCGGCTGATAGCCCCGTGCTACTGACTCCACTGACGCTGGGCTGAGGATGCTCGTAGGTTTCACAGGAAGAAGCTAGAATCAAAAGGAAGAAAGTGAACCTGAGGAGAGCAAGTCAACTGAGATGTTCCTCTACGAGGCCCACTCCAATGTCTTTGGTCAACATCAGCAACTGGAAGACACCTGGCGGGCTGGGGGATTCTTGAAGTCCACACATCAGTCAAGCTGCCAAGGCTGAGAATCACCGCTCCAAAGTCACCTCCCCCATTCTTCACAAAGGTGGAGGCTGCACCAAAGAGGAATGCTGGGGGGGAAAAAATGCCCCTTCCTCAAATAATCTTCTGACGGGAAACGAGCGGTAGCTCACCTCCATAGTCCAATTCAAGGTGATGGGTTGCCCACCTCAAGAGAAGGACACCTAACATTCCCTCCAGGGGTGGGCTTCAAAATTTTTAGCAAAGGGTTCTCTGCCCGGTTGCTGGGTGGGCGTGGCCATGGTGGGCGTGGCCTAGCTGGCCTCCTGCACCATGGTGGACGGGAGGGGGCATTTTTGCCTTCCCCGGGCTCCGGAGGCTTTCCTCAATCCTCTAGGAGGGCAAAAAACGGCCTCCCCAGCCTCCGGTGGCTCTCTGGAAGCTGGAAACGGGCCTATTTCCGGCCTTCCCGAGCTTCCGGGAGGCCCGTTTTTCACCCTCCCTGAGCCTCCACACACGCCCTGCACTTACCTATTTCCAAAATGGGTCATGTGGGGACTTCTGGGAGGGGAGGGGCGGGGCGGGGTGGGGGCCAACCAGAAGTGGGATTTGGGGGTTCTGCACAGAATCTTACCTAGAGGATCTCCCGAACGCCTACAAACCCCCATCAGCCCCACCCCTGATTTCCTGCCTCCCTCCTCTGGTGTGTTGGGTGGACATAACTGGGAAAAGGGGGCCTTCAAATAATCTGGCCTCAGGTCCAGACACTTTGAAGGACCCTCTTTTTCCAGCCATGTCTACCTGACCCACCACAGCAGGGAGGGAGGGGATGTTAGGTATCCTTTCCCTTAAGGAGCTCCATCTGGTGGGGCTGAGAAGAAGGGCCTTCTCCGTGGTGACTCCCTCCATTTATGGAACATCATCACTCCGGAGATAAGATTGTCATATTTTTTTAAGGGCTCAGAATACTCATTTCTGCTAGTAGGCCTGGAATTGGCCCTATCAAGTTTCTAAAATATGGAAGGAAGGAAGGAAGAAAGGAAGGAAGGAAGGAAGGAAGGAAGGAAGGAAGGAAGGAAGGAAGGAAGGAAGAAAAGGTTTGCATTTGTAGAATATGGCACTAATAAAGCATAGGTAGCCCTTGACTTATGATATATAGAATAGAATGGAATGGAATGGAATGGAATGGAACAGAATCGGGAATGGTAATAATAATAAGAACAGAATAGAATAAAAATAATTAGAATAGAAATAATTAGAATAGAATAGAAATTAGAATAGAAATAATTAGAATAGAATAGAATATAGAATAGAATATAAAATAGAAATATGGAAAAGAAATATAGAATAGAGTATAGAATAGAATATAGAATAGAATATAGAATAGAATAGAATATAGAATAGAATAGAATATAGAATAGAAATATAGAAAAGAAATGTAGAATAGAGTATAGAATAGAATAGAATATAGAATAGAATATAGAATAGAATAGAATAGAATATAGAATAGAATAGAATAGAGAAACAGAGTTGGAAGGGACCTTAGAGGCCTTCTAGTCCAACCCCCTGCTCAAACAGTAAACCCTATACTGTTCTGGACAAATGGCTGTCCAGTCTCTTCTTGAAAGCCTCCAGTGATGGAGCTACCTCGGTGTAACCTGCAGTTCTCCACTGCCGGCAGGGTGTTCCTTCGGGGAATGGTGGTGACTATTGGACTCATGCTGAGGCCTTCACTGTCCATCAGGCGCTGCTGGGGGCTGCCCCAGCGGGATTCCGCCTGCCCCGGCTTGGGAGGTCTCGGGGGAGGCGTCGCCACCACGTCACTCGAAGCTGCCACTGCCAAGGCATTGTGGTTTTTGTCGAGCGTGAAGGTCCTCGGGATCTGGTAGATGGACAGAGGGGTGCCCGGCACGTCATAGGAATCAGCGGACAGTTCTCCGAAGTCTTTGCAAAGGGTGCTGTTGGGGGTCTTGAAAGTGTAGACCTCCTCACTATCCGACGTCTCGGAGCCGGTGAGGCTGGATTTGGTGTGGGCATAGCAGCCGAAGCTTCGGGGCAAGTCGTAAGCGCTGTCCCGGAGCTCCGAGTTGTGCCGGTTGGGTTTGGGCAAGCTGTAGAAACCGTGGAGCTGCCCGCCCAGCCCGTTGACGCAATGCCCGTTCTCCTGAGACAGTTTCTGAACCGACGGGTCGCTCCTCATGAAGAACCGGGTGGCTTGAGAGAAGCTGGCGCTCCTGCAACGAAAGAAGGAGAGGAGGAAGAAGGATTACTCTGTTGATCATGAGAGCCCATTTTGTCTAGCGCAGTGGTGGCAAACCTTTTGGGTCTCCTGTGCCAAAAAATGCGTGCATGTGGCACTCCTACGCCTCCTGCGCATGCGCGCGGGATTCCCCCGCTTCCCCCTTACCTGCACTGTGCCTCCCAGATGATTTTGGGCCTGTTTGAGGCCTTTTTTGGCCTGCCAGAGGCTTGAGGGAAGCCTCTACAGGCTTTGCAGGCCAAAAAAAGGGCCCGTTTCATCACTTCCAGGATTTCCGGAAATATTTCCCATCCCCACCTTAGCTTAATTTTTACCTGTCCACTCTGGAGTGGATGGAAACTTAATTAGGGCTTATTTTGGGGGAGGAGGGGGAGAATAGGGCTTATATTGGGCGCACGTGTAAAAATCAAGCTAGGACTTACTTTCGGGGTAGGTTGTATTTTCGGGGAAACGGGAGTATTTGATTCACCAAGAGTTTACCTTGTATTTTCTGATTTCTGGCTCATGCACTGGTGTAGAAAGAGATAGTCCTGAGGAGCGCTGGTGGAAAGGGTGCTCCGGATGTGATTGGAAGGCGACTCAAACGTGAAGAGGGTGGGTTGACTGGAGTGCGAAGGAGCGGACGTTTTTCGCTCCCGCAGCAACCGTTGGTTGGAGCTGCTGAACTCGGCCGGAGATGAGCGAGGACCGTGACTCACCAGAGGGACGTTTCGTAAGGAATCTGCCCAGGAGGAAAATAATAATAATAATAATAATAGAGAAGTTGCTATGAGTCTGTACTTTCCTAAGACTTAAACTTAGAATAACTTTATTGTCAATTTTTAAAAATGTTTTATTGGTACGTTTTTCTTTAACTTACGTAAGTGCTTAATGATACGGTGTATTGTCTGGGTCAATTTACTAATCTTTTCTCTCTATAAAAGTGAAATACCACTCACGCATCATCACAAAATCTCCAGAACTGTAAAGCCTACAAACTTGAAATTTGGCATGTGTGTTCCTCTTGGCTTCTATGGGCTCACTAAGAAAGGATTTTTCGAAATGACCATCAGAGCATTAGTATTTCGTATATTATTATTATTAACACGCTCTGATGCTAAGGAGTTCTACTCCACCTCCCCACCTGAAAAGAAATCTGTTCCAAATGCAAAGCACAAGCAGAGGAGAGAAGTTTCTGTTTCCATTTTAGTTTCACAGCAGCAAATCACTTTAGTGCAGAACAGTTGAGCTAAGCCACGCCCAGGCTCCTTGCTGTATCTTTGCTCGCACAGCGAATACTCTTTCAGTTGCCAAACAGCCCTCAACTCTCTCATACACTGACAGGGCGCTAGTCAGATGAATACTGATGGATGCTGGTAGGCAGAGGCACGATTTTATCCCCCCCCACTATTTTCTTTCCCCAAAACTAAGCCCGGCCACATCATTTTGTAGCAAAGCACAGGTATCGAGCTAGTCCAAAATATCAGTAATAGTAACAATATTTTCATCTAAATAATAATAATATTCTTCCCCTTTCTAACCACAAATTTTGTTGTAAAACAAATCCCATGTTAAGAAAACTTTATTGCCACTTTAAACGTACGCTAATCGGCCTACAGTACATTAAAAATGAAATTTCATTGCATGCAGCGCTCAAAGAATCACCACCTCCAGTATACACTACATAAACACAACAAAATAAATAAATACAAAATTGGAGGTCTTCCAGCCTAACCCCCTGCTCAGGCAGGAGATCCTATATACCAGTTGTTAGTGTTTGGGGATAAACCCCCAAGCAGAGTATGCAGCAGCAGT